TCACTTCCCGCTTCCACCTGTATAGCCTCAGCCCAAAATGATTCAGCCCTTGTGCCGTCCTTCTGTTCTCTCCCGCTTGACCCCAGCTCCCGTACCAGAACCTCTAAACCCGCAATCTCCACCCCAGCATGCCTTTGCCTCACGGTTCAGACAGGCGGGGCAGGCCCATCACGCACCTCGGAGGCCGCACCATTTGCCATGACTTCAACGACTCCAGCTGTTCCTTGCCTCAATGCCGCTATCTTCACTGCTGCTCCCTTTGTGGCGGCGGCCATTCCCGCCCTGCATGACCCCTCAACCCCACCAGCCTCCACCCCTGTCCACATTCTGGCACCAGAAGTTGCCTCATTAAAAAAAAAAAATAGGTGCTTCACCCCCTTGATGGCTCCCAGTCTGACCCCCTCCCACGTCACCACCAGCTCACGGATTATCTACTCTGAGGTCAGTCTTCTCCGAACTCGGCGTCCCTTCGTCGGAAGAGAAAACGCGGGACCTTTAACATCCCCGGAGTTCCTTAGGATAACCCTCGACACTGAACGCTTCCAGGCTCCCCTGCCCATCGAAAAGCCCAATCGCATCACCCTTCTTCCCCAAAGCTTCCTCCTCGCTCTCTCTTGCTTCAGACGACGGCTGCTCTTCTCGTTGGGATGCTTAAACTCACTTGCTTTCACCCGCTGCATCCAAACGGCCACTCCTCGACTCTGCCATGCTGCATAGCTCTCCCAGGGCCGAACCGCATCTCTGGCAACTTCCCGCCAACTGGAACGGCATCACCTTCTTCTACAACGATCGGCTGCCCCGCCCCGACGACGTCCTGCTTTTCACAGATGCCGCCCCTTCTGCCGGCTTTGGGGGTTATTACGGCCGAAGACATTCAGAGCCTTAGCGCCCCACGGAGAGGCAGCTCTGACCCCAGGTCCTCCATTTTCAGCCACGTCTTTCGAGATCTAAACCCCAGCATCGCAGAACTCATCAGCATCTCCCAAGAAGCGATTATAAAATAGCCTTGCAGCAAGCACATTGTCCTCCTATTGGACCGCTCAGAACACGTTCCATTCATCGCATCACAACTTCAACCTGCCACAACCCCACACTGCTTACCCCTAACTTCAGATCTACAAAATTGCTGCATCTCTACCATCCAGCTGAAGCATAGCGATTACTTCCTGGCGTGCACACTCGAGGCCACGTTCCTACTCGCCTTCTTCGGCTTATGCTGTTCTGAATTCACCTCCTCATCCTCGAATCCCTCATCCGCTTCATTTTCATCCTCAAACGAAGCAAACCAATCAATCGGGCAGCACCACGCCTAAATACTACTTAAAATAAACTCTTGTTTAAGACCCTTCACTAACCCTTTACCTTGACCTCAGAAAATCTCAGCACACCTTACCTTCGGATCCTCTGTTCATCACCAAATCTGGCCACGCCTCAATCAGGACATGGCTCCTCTCACACTTTCGCCAAGCGCCCTCGTCTTCCGGGATTCCTCCAAATCACATCCCTGGCCATCCCTTCCTCACCGGCGTCGTGACTACTGCCTCCTGCCAAGGAATCCCTGACCACTTAATCAAGCTCCTGGGTCGATGGTCATCACAAGCCTACCTGGTATACATTCACAACATTCTCCAAAGCCTCCGTTATGCCCAGTCTTGCTCCTGCAGGGGATGCTGTCTTTGGGGGGGCTGCCCGGCCCGAAAGCCGTTGCCAGTCCCCTTCAAGGCCTTCCTCAAACCGCAGCACTAATCACACTCCCTCATCCCTCATTGCTCATCGTTACCAAGGGAGTGGTCCCTGCTAGTGAAGTGGAGATATCATCTGAATTTCAGGAGCGGGACTACTCCTCCTTCACACCCCTTCTGGCCTCAGGCCATAAAAGCCCCCCTTCTCCAATACCCGCTGTTCTCATTTTCATGCCCCCCCCTTTTTTCTTTCCTCTCTTCTCCTGTCCTCTCCTCTCTTCCTTTCCTCCCTTTATTTCTCGTTAGTACAGGGGGTTCTGCACGGCCTGAGAGCCATCGCCAGTCCCCTTCAAGGCCTTCCCCAAACCGCAGCACTAATCACACTCCCTCATCCCTCATTGCTCATCGTTACCAAGGGAGTGGACCCTGCTAGTGAAATACTCCCACATCGTTAGCGCCTCAGCCAATTCTTTCTGAACAATTTGTCCTTCAGGTAACCTGTAGGGCTGTGAGTGCACTGTCACACCAGGACACATTTCAAACTGGAGCTCTATCAGAGAGGTACGGCTGGGCATGGGGAGAACATCTGCAAAATGCTGTTGCAACGCAGCAACATTCACTCGCTCAGCCTGAGTGTGATCATAATGGAGGGAAGAGGAACTGGGCACCTCTGGCCAAACTCATCTCTCTCCCTCATCAGAGAAGTGGGTTTGGCCTCTCTCCATGTTTTGAGAAGGTTAACCCTCTCGAGGCAGGCGTTGCCGATTTGCAACAGTTAAAAACTAACAACCTGATTACCCCACATACATATTTTATGAGTTTTTTTTACTCAGAAGTACCACTGCAGGACTTGGTTGTGCATTAGCAACAAAAAGTTTAATTTGAGCCTGAGAGGGTTAAGGTGATATACCTGTGTGGCTCCTCTCCTGTCTGACCGCACCACTGCATAGTCAACACCTGTTACCCATTTACTGTGTGACCATGAAGGCTCCTTGCAACCTGCTGAGCAACTTTGAGATGAAAGAAGGGAGTAATGCAAGCACTTTGTCTCCCTCTAGCCGCTCTGCCATACAGGCACTCCTGAAGTTCCTGAGCCTGGAGACAATTTTCTCGTGATAACTTTCCCAGTGCGTGTCTTTGCTCTCAGGTCCAGAACATACTGAATGTCCTTCTTAGCTGGGCTTGGACCTTCCTCCCAGTTTTCCTTAATCAAGCTTCTTGCCGAACAGCAGCTCAAAGAAAGAAAATCCCATGGAGGCCTGGGGCACCTCCCGCACTGCAAGCAACAAAGGTTCTAACCCGTGATCCTGATTGCTTTCATCCCCGTGAATAAACCTATGAATCATGGGCTTCAAAGTCTTATTCCGTCGCTCCACCAGCCAGTCCAGGATTCTGGGGGAAAATCCAGAATTTTAATAAGACTTTAAATTTTCCAAGATGGTTATGTTTGTTTGTCATGTTTGCATGTGTATGTATGTGTGTACCGTTCTGTCTGAAAATACAATAGCTAAAAAAGTGTTGAGCACATTTTGATAAAACGTTGTAGGGTCTAGAGTGGGGTCATGTTAAAGTTTGGGCTACATCCATCCAGGTCTTCAAGGTCAACTTAATGATTTATTGGTTGAAAATTGACAAAAAACCTCAGAACTTAGAAAGCACAATGTGAAAGAGTGCATTGTCAAAAACTACCATATTTCGAATATAAGGTAATATTATTAAGGTAATATTATTAAGGTAATATTATGTCATATTTGATCTGTGACCTCTCCTTCAAGGTCAACAGAGTAATAGCCATCAAGTGAACCACACATTTAAACTCATTATACAATAAAATGAATGGTGCATGTTTCATATCCACATAAATACAAAATAATTATACTCAAAGTTCTGTCATTTATATTAACATAGATTTTAACAAGGCAAACAAAAGCCTGCACTTTGCACTTCTTTTTACTGCACTATAGAATAGAATAGAATAGAATAGAATTCAACTTTATTGTCATTGCACATGCACAGGTACAGGGCAACGAAATGCAGTTTGCATTCATCCAGAAGTGCTTTAGTGATATAGATATATTACAATATATATTAGCAATAATATAGATATGTGAGTATATTACAGAATAAACTACACTATAAACTAAGGTTTAAAAAGAACAAAGAAAACAAATGGATACATACAAAATAAAATAATATTCCTTTAAAAGTAAATATCGTCCAAAGAGTGAGCTGCTTCGGTGGAGGTTCGAGTGCATTTTCAGCCCACTGGAAGACAGATTCATTTGTCAACTAAAATATTAACATTCAACATATACAGACTGGTATTCAGCCATCATAATGATCAAAACTATAAGTGCAATAAACCAGTTTTAAATGAAATAATGTGGACTGTGAATGAAAATATCGTCTATGGTTAAGTTTTAATAAAGTAAAAAAGCAGGCACTGAGACAGAATCAGATAAAAATGGATGTGAACAGATCACTAAACAGACCAATAGAAATAGAGCTGCTCTCCTAGGAGCTGGCACAGGGAAGCAGCTTGGTGCTTCACATTCCTGTCCAGCCATTCTTACCCACTACCATGTCACTCTGTAAAACGGTAAGGCAGCTGTTGGCTTCCATCAACTCAAAGTGCATCTCTGAACTTATCCAGCCCAACACCTGCCCATCCTCTCACACACAAACTGCTGAAGCACACACATATGTGATCAAATCTGTGCACAAGCTAGATCACAACAGTCTTATGAGAACTTACATGTGAGAGAAAAGGTGAGTTGTTCTTGCTGAACTGAAGCATCAGTGCAAAGTTATCTTCTAGACAATGTATGCTTGGTGCAAAGTAAATGACGGCTAACTAACTGAACAGAAGAGCAACATAACGACTGAATGTCCGTGCTATTGTTCACTGATCATATACAAAACAAATTCTTTACATCTCAGCTGGATAAGGCACAAACTTTTTATTGCAGCATTTCAAAACGTGAAAATTTACTCAGCAGTCAGACTGACTGCTAAACAGGCACATACTCCAGGTTTTTATGGGCAGTCTAGATGCTAGGCCCGACACTCAAATCCACTCTGCTCCCATTGGCTCATCTCGCTGAGGGTAAAGGCCTGGTTTCCAACTAGCTACTCCCAGCTTCAGCTTTCACTGCACTCTGAAGTCACACGTCATCAACAGTCCAATCAGGCTGGACTTGGGCACCAAAGACTTTCACACAGTCCAGGGGTGGTGATGGTTTCATCTTTCTCCCTTGCCACCCCCCTCATTCCTCCATGTGTTTTTATCCTCTCCTCCACCCGGCTATTTTCAGGCCTCCGTTTTGTCTGTGTCTGCTGTTCTGTCTGCTGTCGTTTTTAAAAAAGGCCCCTCTGACTAGTCTGGATGGATCCACTGCAAGGTCACAAAAGTAGCTGTTAGAGTAAAGTCATTCAGGAGTCCGGTCACTGCTGCAGAGAACAAGTTATCAAGTTTTATATGCAATGGATGTGAACAGATCAACAAACACACTCACTCTCCAAGGACCATAAAGAGTGTAAAGTCACTCCTTTTTAAAAATTACATTTACACACACACACACACATATGTAAATACATTATATTAGGTTAAAAACAGAAAAAAATTCTAACAAGCTTAAAGTGACTTTTACTCAATACAGACTGAACTCTCTGAAGCACCTTTTGTTCCAGTCTCTGTCAGTGGGATTCACAGTTTTATAATGTTGAGGTCCAGACTGTGGGGAGGCTGGATGATGTCACAGTACTTCTCTTTGCTCATAATTCCATTAATACTGACGAGATCAATGACATCAGTGACTTCAGCCCCAAACTGTGGCAGAGCATCCACGGTGTTTTACAGATGGCTGTCAACACCCACCCCGGGGCCTTTATCTTACCCCCTCCTACAGATTGATGATACTTTGAACCAACAATTTAAAATGTTTCATTCTGAATCGAATTTTTAGTTTTATAAACGTGAAACTGTTTTATATTTGGCATTTTACCAAATTTTTTCATAAATTCAACTAAAAAATTAGAAGCAAATCATGTTTTTTTTCCCTCCAACATGCTGCTGGTAGCAAAGATACATTTTAAAACTGGTTCTTTGCTAAACTGTCTTATGTGTAGACACAGCACTGGTTTATACATATGTGCCTTCCTGGGTATCTCTGGACCACTTCCAGTACAACTGCTATTTTAGATGGCTCAGAGTTCCACTGAGACCACTTTTATGTGATCTCAAATTTGTGGAAGAAGCAAATCTTCTAATAAACTGAGCATTATCACAGGAGATTCATTCACTGCAAACAAGCTCTTGCATGCTGTTGTGTGCACATCCATGGGACCAACACAGCCTTTGCTGCCCCATCGTACTCCATTCATGTTCATCCCCATCCCCAAACAAAGTTCAAGTTAAAGTGTTGTCATCATTGTGACACACTGAATAATATACTGTTCACATCACAGTTTCATAAGCAGACAGAAAGTGGAGTGCTCTTAAAATAGCAGCAGAACTTGATGGTTAAGGTAAATCCATCATACAATAGACTCAAATGTACTTATTTTGCTTCCTGGAGCATCGACCTGCTACCAGCAAAGCTTTGTGATGTTTGTAGTTTTTATGTCTGTCCGGCTGGCGAGACAGAAGACTTCCTTCAACTGAATGCTATAATGTGTACTTGAATTAAGGTTTCCAATTTAAGCCACAAAAGAAAAGAAACCTGTGTATAAATCAGAGGGATCCCATGTCTGCTTTACAGAATGATTCTCACAACTTTCATGTGAACAATTAATTATTTCTACCAACACCTATTAGTTTATTAAAAGCACATAACAAAGCAACACCTGGTAAAGTCTCCTTTCTTTATGAACCATTTGAAAACTACAGTTTGTTTACAAACAGTTCATGAAATTAATAATATCCAAAGCTGCCCTCACAATTCTGAATACTCTAGCTGATACTAATATAGTTTGCTCTTGTGTGTCAGAAATACAGGACTGTCAGGACGTTTTACCTCACATCTTAAATTTCTCCTTAGCTTAAACCCCAAAAGGTTGATTATGTTCATCTGGATGTAGCGGAATCACATAATTACGCTACATCCAGATGGATTTACTTACCTGGATGAGTGATCGAGACCTTCTTGGCCTAAAGTTTATAGGTCATGATTGTGGGCCAAGAAGCAAGCAAAGCAGCGTAAACAGGACTGTGTCTGAACATGACAACAGCTTTGGTCATCTGTAACTGTTAGACCAACTCTAGAACTCATTGTTTTAAAGGAACGCCACCCAGTGGGACAGTGTTCTGTTTTATGTTCTGTAAAAACGGGAGAAAAGGGCTACATCACCGTTAGTAGCTGTTTATCGTCCTTTTGTAGGACAATAGTAGTAGTAACAATTTTTAAAAAAAGACCAGTGTTGCCCTTTAAACAACCAACTAAGCTTCACTTTCCCTCAGTCTACTTAGGCACTCAGTTCCAGTTATTCACTTGGCTTTCCACAGCATCACAGTAACACTTGATGTGCAATACACTGAAACCTGAAAAAATACAATGATTGGAAAAAATTACTGAATTATTAATTTCTCTCTTCCTCGTAGTCCTTTCACCAGAGGATGAGGCAAGGATGGAGTCTCCATGGATACTCCATCGTGTCCTGTGCATCCGTCAGTGTCAAACATATATTCAAACCAGGCCCAGGGGTCAGTTTTGCTAATTGGAGCACAAACGTTCCAGGCTAACTGAAAACAGAAGAATTACCACAGCAGAACTGTAGAACCGTACCATTGTGAAGGTGCAATGCAGGGATAGAACAAAAATGTGTTAACAGTCATGTCAGTGGAGTGAATACAGTTTTGAATGTAATCAGCAGCCATGTTTGACTCGGACTGATGAGCCTTTAATCCAAAAATGTGTAAAATGCAATGCAATAATTTGCAAATGTTATAAAGCCATATTTTATTCACAACAGAAAATATCATGTTTACACCAACAAATTAAAAATGTGCAAGAACGTCAGACGTCATATAGCTGGAACCACATATTAAACACTTTTAGCATTGATGATGGCGTTGCCAATTCCATAAGCACTAATGCATCCCATAGCATCAGATATGCAGACTTTTGAACTGAGCACAGGTAACAAAGCAAGATGGTCCTTCTTTAGCTCGTTCGTGGAAAACATGTCTGGACTAAAGAGGGACTCGTGTTCCAAAAACAAGGACCACAGTAACTCAAAGCCCCCCAACCACACTCGGATCTAATTCTGGGAACAGTTTAAAGATGTGCACCTGATGACCTGAGAGGTCTGACACTGTAGTGGAGAGGGGACAAAGCAGGGAAAAGCATTGGGACCTGTATAAAGCAATAGAAGGATTTTAAAGATAACTCCTTTTTGATTACTTGTAAAATGATAATAATTAGTATGTATCAGTAAAATGTTCCTCTTTTTAGTACCACTTACAGTTTCCAGTCTTTTATTGCCACCGTCTTAACTTCTTTATAAAGTAATATTTTCTTAAAGGGGTACATTGTCTTATTGTAAACATTTGCTACTCTTTCTGTTTTCTGTTGTGAATAAATTATAGCTTTGCAGATCACTGCACTTCTGTTTTTATATACAGTTTGTATTGAGGTTGTATTCTAAATGACCGATCTTTCCTGAGTGCACGATAAACACAACAGCAAACCAGTTTCAGTTGTGAAATACTTATACAGCTGCAAATTCTTACCCGAGCCCATATTTGGTCAGGTGAGGAAATGGACAAAAATGATTGCTAGACCTACATTCAACAGCATCACAAGAACCACCAAGATAGAGTTAGGGCCCTGTGGAGACACACAAGAAAGCTCTTTAAGTTATTTCATTTATTTTGCAACATTATGATTACTGACGCTATCAAAATCAACAAGACAAGCAGTGGGCCCCACTGACAGCATGCAGTATGTAGTGGAAACTAGTAAAGATATCCTCTTGAATTCAGTTCAGTCAGATCAGAATACTTTATTAATCCCTCTGTAATTGTGTGGATTACAGTTGCCCAAAGACAGTAACAGTAACAGACTAAACTATTTAAATAATACAATATGTTACAGAGTTTACCAATTTAAGAGCTGGCACAAATCGCTCAACTATAAGTATGAAGAGTATCACAGAGGTGAAATATATATGATTGACATTTAATTCTAACCTGTGAACTTTTTACTGTAGAGCGTGTGCAACAGTGTGGAACTATTGCAGTGTTTACAGCGTATTAGATGGAGGAGTTGTACAGGGCGATGGCCACAGAAAATAGTAGTTGTCCAAGACAGCTGTCTAGTTCAGAGTTCCCACTTTCTTCTTCTGCAGAAGGTCTTTGGTAACATTTGTTTGTCATCTTCTTATAATCCTTTTGTTGCTTCACCTTTTGCTCTTGTAGAGACTCATATCACCCTGTGTGTGTGTGTGTGTGTGTGTGTGTGTGTGTGTGTGTGTGTGTGTGTGTGTGCGTGTGTGTGCGCGCGTGTGTGCGTGTCGTTCTTTTCTTTTTTGCTCGTTTGCGTACAACCTTTATTATACCATTTATGAATTTTGTTAATAAATCTGAACTGCAAATTTTTATTTAAATTTTGCAAGACAAATACTTGTCAAACAGGCCACCACCTACTGAAGCCTACAGAACCACATCATCTGCAAAAAGCAGAGGTGAGATTCTGAAGCTACCAAACTGGAAGCCTTCAGGCACGAGGCTATGCCTAAAATTTCTGTTCATAAAGATAATGAGCAGGATTGGTGACTGAGTCCAACACCTACTGTGAATAAGTCCAACACTGACTGCTGGCAGTGTACAACTGTAGCTCTTGCAACAGTCCTCAATCTGAGATTTGATTAATGGATAAAGTTTCCTTTCCAGTACCCTGGTACAGTCTATCTTCCCAGTGAAGCTGAGTAGTGTGATCCCCCTATAACCTTCCAGAAACTCTTCTTAAAGATGGGAATCACCACTCCAGTCTACCAATCCAGAAGCACCTTGCCAGATCTTCAAGACAGACTTAGAACAACAAGAGCCTTAAGGAAGTCAGAGCAACTCATCCACCCCAGACGCCCTGCTGCTACCAAGTAGTTGTTTAACTACTTTGTTGATCTTGCCCCTGGTGACAGGCAAATCGTGCCCCTCATCCACACACTCTGCGTCCTCTACAGAAGCAGGTCCTCAAAGTATTCTTCCTGCTGTCCGACTATATCCACAGTTGAAGTCAGCAGCACCCCACCCCCACTAAACCCTGTGTGAGAGAGCACTGCTCCTAAACGGTCTGAAGGCCACATCCGGCCCGCGATATAATTTCATATGTCAATATTGTCGCAGATGCCAACAGACTTAATAAACTAATCCGTAAGGCCAGCAATGTTGTGGGGATGGAGCTGGACTCCCTCAAGGTGGTGTCGGAGAGGCGGATGCTGTCCAAGATAAAGACAATGTTGGATAACACCTCCCACCCACTCCATGACATGTTGGTCAGTCACAGGAGCTCGTTCAGTGAGAGACTGAGATTACCCATGATGCACCACTGAACGACACAGGAAATCTTTCCTGCCTGTGGCCATCTCCCTGTACAACGCATCCACTTAACACACTGTTTGCTGCTACAGCTACACATGTTTCTTTTCCAAATATTTATTTATGAGTGACTTATGTATGTATGTATGTATATATATGTATATATTGTACTATTCTTAGTTAGCGTATTGTCTGTCTTGTCTTAATGTTGGTTTATAATGGAGCACTGTAACAAAAAATAATTTCCCCCAGGGATCAATAAAGTATTCTGATTCTGATTCTGATTAATGGCCTGTCGGTATGTGGCAGCTGAATCTTCAACCCTGCTGAGAATCCATGTAGGAAGGACTTTAATTTGATGGGCACACCATGCAGCAAATCACAAGACTGACTGTAATCATACTGTTATGTGAAAGAAGGGAGGGAGTTAGACGCTTTCAAGACAGCTAGTGTAGTGATACAGGCTAGCTACAGAAAGAGACGAGCGGGAATTAAATGCAATCGCGTAGCGAAAAAGTGAAAAGACAAGCAAAGCTGGGTGCCGAATCCATAAAATTAGGAGCTGCCTAAAGTGGTACCCATATTTATTTGCAACCATTTTCCAGGTTTCATCATCGTCCAGGCCTTAAACCTCATGTGTGTTCTCCCCAGTAGGAGTAAATTCATTAAAAAATGAAAACACTGAATAAAAAAATGCTTCCTTGAAAAAGTCCAAATTTACAGTTTATTACACATATTACACAAAATATACAAAAAGTATGCAGAAGTGTACCAGAGAACCACGGTCAGTGTCTGAGTGTCTAAATGAGTCTCACAGGCCTGGATGTGTGTTTGAAACCATTTATAATTGTTAACTTGTTTGATCTGCTGCTCACCGCAAACAAGTACAACCAGTAACTTTGGACTTTTAACTGGATTTTCACAAGTTTTACAGCATTTCCTTGCAACTTCATGCATGTCTTCCTCCTGTAAAAACAGCTGAATTTCTTCTCTGAGCTCAAAGATTCATTATTATCAGGAAGTCCTAAAAACTCACTGAAAAGCCTTCAGTTAATCCAAAATGCTGCAGCAAGAGTCCTGACAGGGATTAGAAAGAGAGAGCAGATTTCTCCTGTTTTGGCTTCCTGTTAAATCCAGACTCTAATTTAAATCCATCTCATCGCACACAACATCTGGAATAATCAGATCCCACTGAAGGCTGACATGTGGGCCTCACTGCTAAACATGTCTGTCTGTGTGTGTGTGCTAGGGAATGTAAATGTATAGCATTGTTATATCATTAATATCAAAATATGGCACTTTTATATGAGGTAAAAATGTATTGTGGTATTACCGTGGGCACCATGATATGGCAACAGCCCTAATTCTGGACATATATCCATATTCAGATTATAGTTATTGTAACATTGGTGGGAAATTCTAGAAAGTATAAGTCATGTCAGTACAATCTGAACACGCACACTTACTGTGCGTTCGATTCTCCCTGATTGTTAGAATACTATATTATAAAAATATGTGTGGCAACTCAACTCACCGATTTGTCCTCTACAATTTCAGGATCCATTTCCATACTGGCTTTCTTGGTTTCTGCAAGGCTCCTTGATTTGCTTGATTCCTTTTTTTGCGGTTCCTTGGGAGGCTCTTGTGCTTTGGTGCCATCTTTTGCTGGAACTTGTGAAGGGATAGGGGCTGGCAGGGGTTTTGGTGCTGGTGGTTGAATTTGTTTGACAGGTGATGGCAGCAAGTGTACAAGGTCAGATGGGTGAAGATCATCCACTACACCAATTGGTTCTTCAGGGGGTTGAATCTTAAGAGTTGCTTTAACATGGTAACCATGGAACTGGGAGTGAATCTGTCCATTGCTTGAGTAACTGCTGACTGTAGTGGTAGCAGACTGTTTGACTGCTGGAGAAGCCTCTTGTTGCCTTACTTGCTGTCTCAGAGAAAGTTTTGACGCTGCTTTTGTTATGCCTGTACAATGAAAAAAAGACAGGAGTAATGGAGACCACAGTTAACCAAATGACTAATGCGTATACAATATACTGGTTCAGGAGGTAGAATTTCAAGTTTTCAGTCAAGCTTCACATCTCAGTTCAGCTTCACAGTATCTGCGGGATGCTGTTAATTTTCAGCAAGACAATAAGCAAAAAGACCCTCCAGCTTCCTAATTGGCAAACCATGGGTCTCTATAACCTAATCCAACCTAAACCCACCAAACACAGATGGTTCAGGATGAGATGAACTACAGAGTCAAAGAAAAAATAACAGCTTTCAGGAGAACTTCCTCCAGACTGTTGGGAAACCTCCTGTTGCAGTAAATATGTAGAAATTAGCTGTATTACTATTACAGCTAATATCTGATAGACAAACATGCAATAAAGTTGCTTACCTGCTGTCAAAGCCTCCGCTGCTGCATCAGAGGCAAGAGTTTTACTGCTGTAAAAAGCCTTTTTAGCAGCAGTAGGTGAAGGACTAGGGCTGGGACCTGGGCTTGCAGATGGAGACTGGGTTGGTGTTGTGCCTTTCCTGTAGAAATGTGGGCTCCCCGAAAGAGATTTCTCTTTTGTCTCCTCTCTGGGCTTCTCAGTTACATCTTGCGAGTCACTGTACTTCTGCAGTGTGTAGTCGGGTCCTAGAAACAAACACACACACACACTTTTTGTTCTCTACACTTAGTTTGAAAGACAGATCAAAGTCAGATCGGACACAGCTGCCTTAAAAAACCCCCCCAAAAAACAAAAAATAATTACAGTTGGAACAGTTACAAATTTGGACACCATGTATCAACACCACTGTGGTGGAGGTGTGGTCTGTAGCTCCGCTGCAGAAGAGGGGTGGCACAGTGGGCTCAGAGCACAGTGCCAGAGAGGCTGGCAGTGCAGCTGGGGCCAGTCTGCTAATCAGGCTCTTCCTTTTTACTAACGCAGGGACCTGGCAGAGGGTTGTTGTTGCCAAGCTGAGACATGTCAGCTGCAAAGCTGCCACAACAAAACTCAAAGAAGTCTTTAAATAAATGGTCACTTACCTGAAAACGCTGTTTACTGGGTCTGTCTATCACAGTTGTCCCGAAAACGCAGGACGCATGTCAGATCCATAGCCTGTACAGCTGGCCCAGCTGCTGGGTCAGATGGCGGCAGAGCTCACAGCCGTGCACAAACAGTACATGGTGGTGCGTAAGGGGAAACTGAAGACACTCCTGGCCACAGCAGAGGGGTGTCAGTGGCCTATGGACGAGTGGTTGCTGCTGCTATGGAGGGAGGCTTAGATGGTGGCCCTGAGCTTGCTGCCGGCATCGCGGTGCTTTCCCAACATCTGCCGGGCCATGCTGGACCGCTGGCAATTCTGGAAAAGTGCAATGTCGGCAGAGTATTGGCCCTTCACTCAGCAGTTCATGGGCCCAGCGGTTCTCTGATGTGGTGGCTGCAGCCCGGGGGATCAGAGGGGGAAGCGTGGCAGTTTGAGCTGGTGGACCTTGAACAATTCGTGGAGGGGTTCCCTGGGAAGACAGCGCAATGGGTCCACTGCCCTCGACCAGCGAGCCTGGAGGTGGTAGTCATGCTGGCAGAGATCCACAAGCAGCATGGCTAGAGGAGACTGAGAGACGCGGCCGCCTAACGAGTGGGATGAGGCCAGTCTCAGCTCCGAGATGCTGGTTTCCCTTCTGTGCTGCAATCACATCTCCCTGTTCTGCCTTCCCAGGCACTGCACCAGGACCCACACGAGCTTGGGGCAGGAGTGTTGGAGGTGCACGTGATAAGGACACATCTGCTGGGAATGTCTATGGATGGAGGTCAGACAGGTGTTCCATGTTGCAGGCCCTCCAACACCCTCTATCCATCTGAGAGGGACGTACAGCACACCGGTAAGTTACCAAGGGGGTATACACAAGGCTATATGGTGGACTTGGGCTGCATCCAGAACCTGGTCCCCCAAACTCTGATCTAACCCAGGGTTGGAGTCAGAGTGGGTGAGTATCTCTTGAAAGCGATACTGACTGACTGACTAGTGCACATCGCTCATGTCTTTCACACTGAAAGAAATGTGCAAATTATTAGAGATTCAATTTATCTGGACCAGCATCTACCACTTTCAGACAGCCAGGTTGGTGGAGCATGTGGGCTTCATAGATAATTGGCAAACCTTCTGGAGGAAACCTGGTCTTGTTAGGAGAGACGGCATCCATCCCACTTTGGATGGAGCAGCTCTCATTTCTAGAAATATGGACAAATTTATTAAACCCCCCAAAATATGACTATCCAGAGTTGGGACCAGGAAGCAGAGTTGCAGTCTTACATGCCTCTCTGCAGCTTCTCTCCTCCTGCTACTTCCCCAAAAACCCATCTCCATAGAGACTGTGTCAGCTTCCAAACAGACAAAAAACAAACTAAAAACCAGCAACAAACAACTTAAACATAAACAATTACAAAGAAAGAACAATACAGTATCCACATCTGAACCAAAGAGTAAAACAGTGAAATGTGGATTATTAAATATTAGGTCTCTCTCCTCCAAGTCTCTGTTAGTACATGACTTAATAATTGATCAACAAATCGATTTACTCTGCCTTACAGAAACCTGGTTGCAGCAGGATGATTATGTTAGTTTAAATGAATCAACACCCCCGAGTCATTCTAACTACCAGAAATCTCGAAGCACATGCCGAGGGGGCGGTGTGGCAGCAATTTTTCAATTAAATTCAGTTTTATTTATATAGCGCCAAATCACAACAAAAGTCGCCTCAAGGCGCTTCATAGATACAGAGAAAAACCTAACAATCATATGACCCCCTATGAGCAAGCACTTTGGCGACAGTGGGAAGGAAAAACTCCCTTTTAACAGGAAGAAACCTCCAGCAGAACCACTCTCAGGGAGGGGCGGGGCCATCTGCTGCGACCGGTTGGGGTGAGAGAAGGAAGACAGGATAAAGACATGCTGTGGAAGAGAGACAGAGGTTAATAACAGATATGATTCAATGCAGAGAGGTCTGTTAACACATAGTGAGTGAGAAAGGTGACTGGAAAGGAAAAACTCAATGCATCATGGGAATCCCCGGCAGCCTATGTCTATTGCAGGATAACTAAGGGAGGATTCAGGGTCACCTGGTCCAGCCCTAACTATATGCTTTAGCAAAAAGGAAAGTTTTAAGCCTAATCTTGAAAGTAGAGATAGTGTCTGTCTCCTGAATCCAAACTGAAGCTGGTTCCACAGAAGAGGGGCCTGAAAACTGAAGGCTCTGCCTCCCATTCTACTTTTAAATACTCTAGGAACAACAAGTAGGCCTGCAGAGCGAGAGCGAAGTGCTCTAATAGGGTGATATGGTACTACAAGGTCATTAAGATAAGATGGGGCCTGATTATTTAAGACCTTGTATGTGAGGAGCAGGATTTTGAATTCAATTCTGGATTTAACAGGAAGCCAATGAAGGGAAGCCAAAACAGGAGAAATCTGCTCTCTCTTTCTAGTCCCTGTCAGGACTCTTGCTGCAGCATTTTGGATCAGCTGAAGGCTTTTCAGTGAGTTTTTAGGACATCCTGATAATAATGAATTACAGTAGTCCAGCCTGGAAGTAATAAATGCATGAACTAGTTTTTCAGCGTCACTCTGAGACAGGATATTTCTAACTTTAGAGATGTTGCACAAATGGAAGAATGCAGTCTTACATATTTGTTTAATATGTGCATTGAAGGACATGTCCTGGTCAAAAATGACTCCAAGGTTCCTCACAGTGTTACTGGAGGCCAAGGTAATGCCATCCAGAGGAAGAATCTGCTTAGAGACCATGTTTCTAAGATTTTCAGGGCCGAGTACAATAACCTCAGTTTGATCTGAACTAAGAAGCAGAAAGTTAGCGGCCATCCAGGTCTTTATGTCTTTAAGACATTCCTGCAGTTTAACTCATTGGTGTGTGTTATCTGGCTTCATGGACAGATAGAGCTGGGTGTCATCAGCATAGCAGTGTAAATGTATGCTATGTCTTCTAATGATGCTGCCTAATGGAAGCATGTATAATGTAAACAGAATTGGTCCTAGCACTGAACCCTGTGGAACTCCATAATTAACCTCAGTGTGTGAAGAGGACTCTCCATTTACATGCACAAACTGGAGTCTATTAGATAGATATGATACAAACCACTGCAGTGCAGTACCTGTAATACCTACAGCATGTTCTAATCGCTCTAATAGGATATTATGGTCGACAGTATCGAAAGCTGCACAACGCTTTCACACCAGCCTATTAATCAACCAAAGACCCAGACAGACTTTTAATTCATTTGAAAGCCTGATGCTTAGCCTCGTCCACCCCAGATTTAAAACTCAGAAACCAGTCTTACTTGTTATCATCTATCGTCCACCTGGGCCTTACACAGAGTTTGTCTGATTTCTCAGACTTTTTATCTGATTTAGTTCTGAGCTCAGATAAAATAATTATATTGTACGACTCTGGATACTGTAGCTCCTGTGAAAACTAAGGTCTCTAATCAGAAGTATTTGACTCCGTGGAATAATTCTCAAACACGTACCCTAAAGCAGATGACTCGTAAGCTGGAGAGGAAATGGCGTGTCACAAATTTAGAGGATCATCATTTAGCCTGGAGAAATAGTTTGCTGCTTTATAAGAAAGCCCTCCGCAAAGCCAGAACATCTTACTATTCATCACTGATTGAAGAAAATAAGAACAACCCCAGGTTTCTCTTCAGCTCTGTAGCCAGGCTGACAAACAGTCAGAGCTCTGTTGAGCCAACCATCCCTTTAACGTTAACCAGTAATGACTTCATGAACTTCTTCACAAATAACATTTTTATCATTAGAGAAAAAATTACCAATAATCATCCCACAGATGTATTATTATCTACAGCTACTCTTAGTACCATTGATGTTAAGTTAGACTCTTTTTCTCCAATTGATCTTTCTGAGTTAGCTTCAATAATTACTTCCTCCAAACCATCAACGTGTCTTTTAGACCCCATTCCTACAAAACTGCTCAAAGAAGTCCTGCCATTAATTAATTCTTCGATCTTAACCTCCTAGGACCTGGCGTCCACATATGTGGACATCACATTTTGGGTTATTTAGACCAAAATACTCAATTTTGCTCTACAAGAGCCTGATATCCACTCCACCGAGGACATTATACTGCTACTGTTCTATCGAAATTTTAAATGAATATCCTCATATGTGGCTCTCATTTTTCTCAGAAACAAAAATTAGGTAAAAAAAAAAAAATCTGGCAAATCTTTGTTTTTACATTCATCAGGACCCAATCAGCCCAAATACCAAATAGAAATTAAAAATGCATGCCGTGGAAGAGTTCGGGTCTTAGGAGGTTAAATATGATCAACCTATCTCTAATGATCGGCTATGTACCACAGGCCTTAAAGCTAGCTGTAGTTAAACCTTTACTCAAAAGCATCTCTAGACCCAGCAGTCTTAGCTAATTATAGGCCAATCTCCAACCTTCCTTTCATATCAAACATCCTTGAAAGAGTAGTTGTCAAACAGCTAACAGATCATCTGCAGAGGAATGGCTTATTTGAAGAGTTTCAGTCAGGTTTCAGAGCTCATCACAGCACAGAAACAGCTTTAGTGAAGGTTACAAATGATCTTCTTATGGCCTCTGACAGTGGACAACTTAGTGCATGCCATGTATACAGTACGTAGCATATAACTGTTTGAATATTCAGATGAGAAACTTCCATCAGGACACCGAGTTATGGAGAAAAAAAGTGGCCCTGTTGTTGCATTTCAGCACACATCCCTGGTAAAGTCAAAACAATCCAGACTACGATGGTGAGAGTGGACGAAGCTGTGAAAGGCTGGCCATTCCTGAGGCTCATGTGAGCAAACACGAGGCCAAAGCTAATACAACTTTGAATCTGTCACAGTCATACATAACAGAGAAGGAAGCTGGAGGAACTATATGAAGCTGAGCAGAAATGTCTAAAACAGGAAAATGAAGCATTTGATAGATTTTGAAAGCGCAGCAGAGGCAGAGAAAAGGAGATTCCAGTCTATGCAAGGCCAGCAACAAGCAAAACATCAAGTGTTCATGGAGATAATTGGTACTATCACCACCACTTGGTGTCCTGGTCAACAACAGCACCCACAGTCACCACACTGGATCTATCTAGTTCCTGTGGGGTCACCCACAGGTAGTGCCTGGCCTATCCACTACTCTCCTGTACCACAGCAGTCCATGTCACCCGTTGCCCAAAAGACTGATGTCTGTCCCTCTATCAAAGTCTCGACAATTCTTGACAATGCACTGAACATGAAGAGACTTCAAAACCAACAAATGTCTCAGGTGCAACCCACCTGTGTAATTAAAACATTAACCAGCAGGTGATGATAGTTTCTCCAATGAGCGTTTTTCCTTTTTTAGTGCAGTCAGCTAGAGAGCTGAGTGACGTGGGTGCTGAACCAAAAGCACTCTGTACACTTCCATTTAAGTCTCTTCAAGGCACTTTATTTTGTAAGGTACCCTACAGAGAAAAGATCAACAATCAGATGAACCCTAACAGAGGGGGTGTCAAACTCAAATACACAGTGGGCCAAAATTCAAAACTGGAACAAAGTCGCGGGCTAACGTTAATATTTACTGAAAAAAAAAATCTTCCTCTAGATATAAGAATGAATCTTTTCTTATGGACTCAAGCACGTTTTGCTGAAAAACTGAATATAGAACAAGCAAAGCTTAATACTAAACAATATATATATTAGCTGTATAATACCAGTAGGCCAGCTCTAATAGTCATTTGGTATGGCTTCGCGGGCTAAATGTAATTAGGCTGCGGGCCAAATTTGGCCCGCGGGCCAGAGTTTGACACCTATGCCTTACAGGGAGTGCAGAATTATTTATAGTTTTCACACATTAAGTTTTTTACTTCTCACTAAACTGTATCTTTGTATCTATCTACATTTTCTGTCATAATCTGATTTTACTTTCTATGCAAATATCAAAAAAGCTGTGTTTTTGTCTTTATTCAGTTCAATATAAATATCTGATATTACAGGGAGTGCAGAATTATTAGGCAAATGAGTATTTTGTCCACATCATCCTCTTCATGCATGTTGCCTTACTCCAAGCTGTATAGGCTCGAAAGCCTACTACCAATTAAGCATATTAGGTGATGTGCATCTCTGTAATGAGAAGGGGTGTGGTCTAATGACATCAACACCCTATATCAGGTGTGCATAATTATTAGGCAACGTCCTTTCCTTTGGCAAAATGGGTCAAAAGAAGGACTTGACAGGCTCAGAAAAGTCAAAAATAGTGAGATATCTTGCAGAGGGATGCAGCAGTCTCAAAATTGCAAAGCTTCTGAAGCGTGATCATCGAACAATCAAGCGTTTCATTCAAAATAGTCAACAGGGTCGCAAGAAGCGTGTGGAAAAACCAAGGCGCAAAATAACTGCCCATGAACTGAGAAAAGTCAAGCGTGCAGCTGCCAAGATGCCACTTGCTACCAGTTTGGCCATATTTCAGAGCTGCAACATCACTGGAGTGCCCAAAAGCACAAGGTGTGCAATACTCAGAGACATGGCCAAGGTAAGAAAAGCTGAAAGACGACCACCACTGAACAAGACACACAAGCTGAAACGTCAAGACTGGGCCAAGAAATATCTCAAGACTGGTTTTTCTAAGGTTTTATGGACTGATGAAATGAGAGTGAGTCTTGATGGGCCAGATGGATGGGCCCGTGGCTGGATTGGTAAAGGGCAGAGAGCTCCAGTCCCACTCAGACGCCAGCAAGGTGGAGGTGGAGTACTGGTTTGGGCTGGTATCATCAAAGATGAGCTTGTGGGGCCTTTTCGGGTTAAGGATGGAGTCAAGCTCAACTCCCAGTCCTACTGCCAGTTTCTGGAAGACACCTTCAAGCAGTGGTACAGGAAGAAGTCTGCATCCTTCAAGAAAAACATGATTTTCATGCAGGACAATGCTCCATCACACGCGTCCAAGTACTCCACAGCGTGGCTGGCAAGAAAGGGTATAAAAGAAGAAAAACTAATGACATGGCCTCCTTGTTCACCTGATCTGAACCCCATTGAGAACCTGTGGTCCATCATCAAATGTGAGATTTACAAGGAGGGAAAACAGTACACCTCTCTGAACAGTGTCTGGGAGGCTGTGGTTGCTGCTGCACGCAATGTTGATGGTGAACAGATCAAAACACTGACAGAATCCATGGATGGCAGGCTTTTGAGTGTCCTTGCAAAGAAAGGTGGCTATATTGGTCGCTGATTTGTTTTTGTTTTGTTTTTGAATGTCAGAAATGTATATTTGTGAATGTGGAGATGTTATATTGGTTTCACTGGTAAAAATAAATAATTGAAATGGGTATATATTTGTTTTTTGTTAAGTTGCCTAATAATTATGCACAGTAATAGTCACCTGCACACACAGATATCCCCCTAAAATAGCTAAAACTAAAAACAAACTAAAAACTACTTCCAAAAACATTCAGCTTTGATATTAATGAGCTTTTTGGGTTCATTGAGAACATGGTTGTTGTTCAATAATAACATTATTCCTCAAAAATACAACTTGCCTAATAATTCTGCACTCCCTAAGTAAGCACTTGGCGACAGTAGGAAGAAAAAAAAAAACCTTTTAAGAGGAAGAAACCTCCTGCAGCACTAAGGTCAGGGAGGGGTGGTAATCTGGCACGAGGGGTTGGGTGAGTGGAGGAAGACGGAAAGAGATTAACAATAACTAACGATTAATTAAAACCAATGATTGAATCATTGTTGTATAAACACACTGTATAAAAAAAAGAGGTGAGTGAAGAAGAAGTGCATCATGCAAACCCCCAGCAGCCTAGACCTATTGTAGCATAACTAAGGCTGTGTTCAGGGTCACCAGGTCCAGCCCTAAAGATCATTTAAAAATGGTAAATGGACTGATTCTTATATAGCAGTTCCTACTCTCCCAGAGTACTCAAAGTGCTCTACACAACATGCCACATTCAGCCAAGCACTATCTTCTATACTTTGAAGTGCTTACTAACTACCTACTAACTACTATGTACCAGAGAGCAACTTGGAGTTAATATCTTGCCCAAGGATATTTGGCATGCAGACTAGGGAGAGCCAGGGATTGAACCACCAACCTTTCAGTCAGTAGATGATCTGCTCTACTTCCTGCCACCCCGGTTCTTAATTTTTTAAAGAACACACCATGCCAAGATATGCCAAGGTTTCAACTAAAAGCTCTTTGGAAATCACTTTTCGATGTAAAAATACTCTTATGCCTGTCAAACTGTGTTATATTTGGCATTTATCATACAATCAAAATAGTTTTTTTTGTGCCTGAAGATACAATTTAAAATGTGTGCAGATACAACACTGTTTCACGCCTTTTTTTGTCTGAAGTTCACAGGTTAATGTTAACAAAAAACATTCCACTGAAAATGATCAGGTACAAAGACCGGACTGAAAATTTGTGGAAAAAGCAGCCGATATCCAAACCTTTGTAAGAACCTTCAGAAGGCATGGAAAACTATTGCTAAAGACCATTTAAAAAAAAACATTGCAATATGATCTGGCTCCTTGGTAGCAAAATTTGAAGAAAATAGGGGAGGACCAAGACAACCTCAAAGGGTTTCAAACCCAACCTTCAAACAGTTGTTCTAAAACCTTTCATAACCTTTTAGGCATTTCAATCATACAGAAGGTCACAAATTAAACCTAACAACAGAAGTTCAACATCGCATGTTTACAAGCAGCAGCTCTACAACATGTGCAGGTGTTACAGTACCTGGCTGATGGAAAGATGGGGAGAGCTCCCTGGCCACAGCTCGGGCAATATCAGAATCCTGGCAGGCTGATTGTGAAGCCTGATCTGCACACTCTGCTTTGACCCGGGCATGGGACGTCCTGCAAGAATCCATATACTCATTAGTAACTAACATACTCAGCATAGTGTGCTCTGTCTGGTTTATTTGGAAGTGTTTCAATAGTTTCCATGGGGCTGCCATCTGGGGCTTCTAAAAAGCATTGATATGCAAGGCAGCTGTGAAGAAATGTGATGCACACAGCTTTTAGGTTTTTTTCTCTCCTTTGATATTGGCTGGACATTTCTCTTAATTGTAGACTTTGACAACGATAAGCCTTCGTCTTTGTGTGTTTTTGACTTGGCTAGTAACTGAAGAGTTTTTCTCTTAATCAAGGAAAGGATTTTGTAAATATCTACTTTCATTGCCTTGAGGGGTGTGATGGATGCATGCAACCACACAACTGAGATACTTAGGTAATATTCATTTGGTCTTTTGTCTTATGTTTACGTTATGCTCTAAAGTTTCTGTGATCATAAGTTAATTAATTTGATATTTTGAGTTTACCTGTAATGCATGACAGCACTAAGCTATAGCCCAAATGGTGGCATAGACTTTCCTTTGCATTGTTTGTTATTTTATACAGGTATGTTATATTGATTATATTTCTGCTCTTTCTGAGTTACCTGACCTCCGCTCCAGTCCTTCCTGGTTTGGCTGAAAGAGGAGGCTGAGGGTGGAGCTGGTTTAAATGCAGAAGCCAATAAAGTGGAATGGACCATCTATTGTGATCATGCAGGGGGAATGGGGTTCTTCTTGAATGATGGTTAGCTGTTATCTCTTTAGTTTTCACCTTTGGTGTATATAATGGTTTATTCATTTGCTATATAACTGGAGCTGTTTCTCATTTGGGCAGGTCAGTTTGTTGAGTTATGTTTTTGTTAAGTGATTTTTGAGTAGCGGTCTGTTAAGTTAACCTCTTTTATGGGCCCACTTGGTTCTTAAAGACTTTATTTTTTGTTATTTTGAATTTTTGTAATCATTTTGTCCTTTTTGGGGGTATAATAAAACCCATTTTTTGAAGTTTACATTTGTGCCTGTGTGTTCCTGGCTGCTTGGTTCATGACAATTGGTGGCAGCAGTGGGATACAGCCAGTTTAAAAAAAAAAAATACACACACACAAAAAAGGCACTTTTTTTTTTTCACTCCTTATCGAACCATGCAGAGAGGAGCAAGGAGTGCGAGAGTAGTCCGAGGAGATGTACCAAGCCAGCAAATGGGCTCAGAAGGACAAGTCGATGGAGAACAGGAGGAGAATGGAGCTTCTGGAGGGGTAGACAGCACTGAGGGCCAAGGTAGGGAGCCAACGATATCGGATCTGATCTCTCTTCTCCGTTCACATATGGGCCAGCAGGAGGCCAGAGAGGCTAAACAGAAGGAGGAGAGTGCAAAGCAAGAACAACGTTTTAAAGCACTTCAACACCAGTTTCAGTTGTTACAGGTAGAAGTACAAGCCCGCACTTCTCCAGTGCCTGAAGGTCAGGCAGCTGAATCACCTGATCCAGCATCTCTAGATGATGACATTCTTCCTCAAGCTGGTCCCAGTATATCAGTTACTGGTTCATCAGGTCAGTCCCATTTTCTGGAGCCTAAGTTGCAAAAACTCACCAACGAGGATGATATTGAACATTTTTTGATTACCTTCGAACGCATTGCAATGGCCTGTCGGTGGCAGAGACATGATTGGGTTTTTCACCTTGTACCGCTGCTTACGGGCAAAGCAAGAGGTGCATATGTACATATGGATGTTGATGATTTTTTGGATTATGACAAGGTTAAGGCAGCATATCTGGATGATATTGTGATTTACAGCCAAACCTGGGAGGAACACCTCCAACATCTAGAAAAGGTACTAGAGCGTCTCAGAGAAGCTGGGCTGACTGCTAATTCGGCAAAATGTGTTTTTGCCAAGGCTGAAACTGAATATCTGGGATTTGTCATAGGTAATGGGGTGATAAAACCACAAGTGAGCAAAATCAGTGCAATTGAATCCTGCAGTTTGCCACAGACAAGGAAACAACTTAGATCATTTCTTGGCATGGCAGGGTTCTACCACAGATTTATCCCTCATTTCTCTGCCAGGGCGTCTCCCCTCACTGATCTAACAGGTTCTAGGTGCCCTAACCAGATTCAGTGGACGGAGGAGGCTGAGGCAGCTTTCCAGGACATCAGGCAATCCCTCAGTAAGACTCCAGTCTTGTATACCCCAGATTTTGAGAAACCTTTTATTCTTCAAACTGATGCTTCTGACAGGGGTCTGGGGGCTGTTCTTCTACAGGGACCACCCAATGAGCGACACCCAGTGGCTTTCATTAGCCGTAAAATGTTCCCAAGAGAGATGAGATACTCAACGGTGGAAAAAGAGGCTTTAGCAATCAAGTGGGCACTTGATTCCCTCAAGTATTACCTCCTAGGCCGGGAATTTACACTGGAAACTGACCACAAGGCGTTCCAGTGGTTGGAGAAAATGAAGGATACGAATGGACGAATCACCAGATGGTACCTTGCGATGCAGCCATTCCGTTTTACCATTCAGCATATCGCAGGCAAGAACAACTGCACAGCGGACTATCTCTCTCGCTGTTCCAGCTCACTGCTGAAGGGGGGGGAGTGTGTGATGGATGCATGCAACCACACAACTGAGATACTTAGGTAATATTCATTTGGTCTTTTGTCTTATGTTTACGTTATGCTCTAAAGTTTCTGTGATCATAAGTTAATTAATTTGATATTTTGAGTTTACCTGTAATGCATGACAGCACTAAGCTATAGCCCAAATGGTGGCATAGACTTTCCTTTGCATTGTTTGTTATTTTATACAGGTATGTTATATTGATTATATTTCTGCTCTTTCTCAGTTACCTGACCTCCGCTCCAGTCCTTCCTGGTTTGGCTGAAAGAGGAGGCTGAGGGTGGAGCTGGTTCAAATGCAGAAGCCAATAAAGTGGACTGGACCATCTATTGTGATCATGCAGGGGGAATGGGGTTCTTCTTGAATGATGGTTAGCTGTTATCTCTTTAGTTTTCACCTTTGGTGTATATAATGGTTTATTCATTTGCTATATAACTGCAGCTGTTTCTCATTTGGGCAGGTCAGTTTGTTGAGTTATGTTTTTGTTAAGTGATTTTTGAGTAGCAGTCTGTTAAGTTAACCTCTTTTATGGGCCCACTTGGTTCTTAAAGACTTTATTTTTTGTTATTTTGAATTTTTGTAATCATCTTATCCTTTTTGGGGGTATAATAAAACCCATTTTTTGAAGTTTACATTTGTGCCTGTGTGTTCCTGGCTGCTTGGTTCATGACAAGGGGTCTTTCAGGGCTTTTAGTGTTGCTGAATTTATTTGATTTGATTTGATATTTTTCTAAAGGAATAAACTTCACTTCTTTTATCTCCTTAATGATGAAATAATGAGGAAACTAACACATATGTTTGTTTACCCCCCCCAAGAGCTTCCCAGATGTCTTAGGGATGGGGTATAAACCCCTAAGAGCTTTCTTGGTGCTGTACTGAGGAATGTGGTTTCTCTGTCAATCTAACAAAGTATTTCTGCCAAACTGGCTAAAGAGGTAAAAACCAAAGGGTGATTAAAATGGAACAGTATAGAAAAAGAAACATTAAAATTATGTAGAGGGTTACATGGGTATCACATTTGATTAGAAATATGCATCAATTTTTATGAACACTATTCAGCTCATCCAGACTTAAAATGGTGAATGGACTGATTCTTATATAGCGCACTTCTACTCTCCTGGAGCACTCACAGCACTTTAGATCACATTCACCCATTCACAGCCATGCACACAAGCACTTTCTTCTACACTTTAAGTGCATTCTATCTAAGCATTCACACACATGCATACGCTGATGGATGTATCGGAGAGCAACTTGGGGTTAGTATCTGAAGGTCAAAGTGATGCAACATTTGAATCCAACATTACATAAAATCCCTGCTGTGATCATTACTAAAACCAACCAGCTGATCTATACCACAGCAACAGTGATCCTTGAGATGCTTGGCTATAAGTTGACCAGCCACAAGTAGCAATACCTGCCATGCAGAAAGAGGCTGAGATCAAGGGAAAACTGCAGGAAGTTAGCAAAATATTTAAACTGCAGAAAGGTATGAGGAAGAATGGAGTGTAGAAGAAGTACAACAAGCTGCTAATTCTGAGGCCTTTGAAACAACCAAACAAATATACACAGTCTTGGCTAACCGCCTTAAGAGGTATACCAGAAGTAGAAACCATGAGAATAAACCAGATGTTCTCTACTAAACCATCAAAGATGCATTAATATAAGGCAGGAAAACAATATGAGAGCAGTCCCACCAAGGCTGGAGATGAAGCAACACTGGAATAGCATATGGGAGATGGATGCAACACAACAACAATACTCAGTGTTTAGTGGATCTAAGAGCACCCCATAGCAACCACTCTAAACTGCATGTCATGTGATGTGACCATCACATCCAAGAAAGAGTCTCAAGCATGAGTTCGCCAGCACCAGGCCCGCACATCATTCACACCTACTGCCTAAGAGCCTAACTGTATTCAGTGAGCACCTGGCAGAACAAATGAACCAGCTGCTAATGGATGCAACTGGAACAGCTAACTGAAGGCTGGACAGTCTTGATTACCAAGGACCCTTCGAAGGGACTGGTCCCATCTAACTAACGTCCAATAAACTGCCTAACACCACATGGAAGCCTCTGCCAATGTAATTGTAACCTCTCTGTAACCTACAGAGAAATAACATCGTGGAAGAGGCAAAAAGTGAGCAAAAAATGTCCTAAATGCAGTTAGAATTTATTTAGAACTATAAATTAAATTTCTTTTAGCAATTATTGTTTTTTAATGTCACAATTCCAACCCTGCTCCTTTATCCGGGCTTGGACCGGTGTTCTGAGAAACCATCCTACTCTGACAAATCGTCCTACCCGTATTATAATTTGACAGTGACTTGTGACTAAACCTAACCCTACCCCTAACCATAACCCTAACCATAATGGATTGGATTTATATAGCGTTTTTCAAGGCACCCAAAGCGCCATAACCATAACCTTAAGTATTCCAGATGGGTGAGAGAAAAAGAAGTTAATTCGGCTTTGGTGTTGTGCACATGCGCCGCGTCTGCGCAGAAACATTGGGTAGGATGTTTTTTGAGGTAGGATGGATTCCCAGAACACCTGCAAAAGTGACCCGAAATTGGCACTCTGGTGGAGTTGCTGTGTGTGTGTGTGTGTGTGTGTGTGTGTGTGTGTGTGTGTGTTTATAAATAATTATATATAAATTATATATAATTATTATAATTATATATATATAAAATAATTTCCCCCAGGAATCAATAAAGTATTCTGATTCTGATTCTGATAAGTAGTTTTAAACCTTGTGATCCACAAAACAGCATAACAGTAAAAGAAGAACTGACTGCGTTACAGTCAGTGCGAGAGCAGCGGCTTCGCTCATGCGCGATTCATTTGCAGTTTGGACGCATAGGGGTCAACATCTCTGTGCCCTGATAGCAGATGGGGGAGGACCATCATCCGCCTGTGAGCACTTTGGCACGGGTGAGGTGCCCACGGCAGCACCGCTGCTTGTTGAGAGTAAGAGCAATATGCATTTTAACGTCAAAAAGTCGTCATAAATAAGTCTCCAATAATACCAGAAAAAGTCACCAGATTTGTCGCTAGTCGCTTTTTTAGAAAAAAAGTCTCTAAGGGGGTCTGAAAACTCGCTAAATATAGTGACAAAGTCGCTAAGTTGGCAACACTGGAAATAATTTAGACAGTTTGTAACTCTTAGTGATGCCGGAGTGTTCGTTTGACTTTGGGACCTGAAGAAGACGGAGTTTTGGACCCAGATCACTCCGCGGGGCTCCTGAATACGGCAGCCGTAATGCTCCGGCAATCCATCAAGCGGTGTGGCTTCATAGCTTACCAAAGTTGTACTGAAACATTTTTGACAGATTTCTGCGCGCCATGTACCACATAAAATTGGTTCGAGGTCAGTAAGTACAACCAGAATTCACACATAAGGCGCACTGACGATTTTTGATAAAATTAAAGGATTTTAAGTGCGCCTTATAGTGTGTAAAATACGTGATACAGAAGAAAAGAATATATCGCGATATATATCGTTACCGCACTTGCTTCAAATTATGCCGTGATATGGATTTTTAGGCCATATTGCCCAGCGATAAAGCCCTACCCTGTCCCCACTGCTGTTCTACGTAAGCCTGAACAACAAAAAGATGGAAAGTAGTCAGAACTGAGCAGGCTGCAATATCAAAATGCAATATTCCAGATATTGAGGATAGCTAGAATTACATGGGAATACAAGAGGTGAACTGAACAATGAAGAGGCCTCTAGAGAAGCTGCCTTCGCCAAAGAGCAAGGCAAATCCTGAGGAGTCTGCTGAATGGGAAGAACAAGCTCTAGGTAATCAACACCTATGCCCTGCCAGATACCCTGCTGGAATAATAAGCTAGCCAAGGGAGGAGATAGAAACCACTGACATTAAAAAAAGAAAAGCCTTTACCACGTATCGAAGGTTTCATACCAAATCCTGGCCAACGAATAGTGAGTGTAGAATTACTATCCAGGATGTAAGAACAACAACAACAATCCATCAGTACATCAGAAAGATGGCCACGAATGATCATGTGCTTGGTGATACCTCAGGCAGCAGAAACCCAAGAGAAAAAAGGAGCAAGAACAGCAAAGATCATAAATACTAGTTGGCAGATCATACATGGAAAGCTATAATGAAGTGGATGGCATAGTATGCAGGAACACCGTTGCCGAGTAAGGCCTGGAAGTGCTAAGGCTAACCAGCCAGTAGTTGGGTCCAAGCAGAGGAGGAAGGCTGTAGTGATAAGATGTAGCAATAGCAACATCAGGAAATAGGAACAAGATACCTGAGAAATAACAAGGGCTGAGAGAGGAGATAGAAAATACGTGGAAGCTGAAGGCAACTGTTGTCCCTGTAGTAATCAGAATACTCGGGTCACTGTGCCCAAAATTGAGTGAGTGGCTCCAGTAGATTCTAGGTATGGCATCTAAAATGGGTTTCTGGGGCTGAGATGCATGCCGGCAGAGGAGATTGAGGTGGAAGTGATGCTGGTGTTGGCTTGACTGGTGGGGACTTCGGGGTTGGTTAGGAGTACAGGTGAATATGCAGGTGTCACAGGAGGTCAGATCAGTGAGGCAGTGGGAGGAGGGCATCTAGGGGTGCTGATGATATTTGAGATGGGGGATGTGCAGTTAAAACAGTTGAAAAACAGGCTTGAAATGGTGTGTTAGTTTTACACCAGATGTAACCAGACTCAACCCTTTAAAAAAGTTTAGACAGAATATTTTTCCAAAGGTTTTGGGGATTTAACGGTTACTTTTTCACATAGAGCAGGTAGGGTTGGATAGCTTTTTTTTTCTTTTAATAAACTAAATGAGCATTTACATACTGGGTTATCTTTGTCCAGTTTTAAAATATATTTGATCATCTGAAACATGTGACACATATGAAAGACAATCCCAAACTAACAAGCAGCAAATATTTTTTCATTCCACAGAATACTAAGTACCATATGCTTACTATGAAGTTTCAATTACATTTGTAAGCCAGTGTGTCAAAATGAGCAATAAAATGTCTTTGTGTCAAGCCAAAATATGCAGAGTAGTATTAAGAGTATTACTAATAGTATTTAATAATGAGCAGTATATGCTCTGACAATAGTATAGATAAAATATGGATAAAACTTTGGATAGTATATACTACCCAATATACTTCCAATGTAGTAAAGAAAAAGGTGGTAAAAGTAGTTTACCTGGAGATGGCAATCTCAACTTTGGTTCTGGCGATGGCTGCTGCTCTCACTGCTCCTTCAATGGCACGATCCACTTTTTGTTTGGTCTTGGTATTCTTTAGTGGGAACAGCTGCTTCCTGATACCCCGGATCAGCATATTGTTCTTGTACTTCCCTTCTTCCTTCGTCCCATTAGGAAAGATGGTGCAGCCATAGCCATGGCGTTTATTATTCAACCACTCGCCTTCATATTTCATGCCATTAGACCGCTCAGAGATACCAAAGCCACTGCGTTTGTCATTTTTCCACTCGCCCACATACGACTCGGTGGTGGTAGCATCCACACTGTCCTCAAGAGGCAGGTAGTCATCGCCAGGGTCTCCATCTCCAAAGCTAATGGTAGAGTTGGCGTCACTTGAACTGATGCGGCTCATAGTAGTGTCACTGTGTGCTGAACTGCGCTTACTAGAAATTGATGAGCGTGAATCAGATTTGCGTAGTCGCTGAAGGCTACCAAAAAAGGAGCCACGGCGAAAAAGACCCTTTCTCTTCTCTGAACCCTCTCCATCTGATTGGAAGTTGAGCACAAAACCACCACGTGTGCCAGCAGGGCTATCGGATAGGCTGTCACGCAGTACTGTACCATTACTCTGCTCACTGCGGAGTGAAGACAGCGAAGTTCGTAGAGGTGAGCGGATGACAGAAGCCATGCCATAAGGAACACTTTGACGTACTCCATAGCCGTGACGCATGCCACCACTCCACTGACCCTGATACGTGCCTACAGCAGTAGCAGAGAGACACACAGAGAGAAGACAGACTGTGAGTAAAGCATAAAAAAATAAGCAGAGACAGAATAAAAAGCATATACAGAATAATGTAGAATACAAAGTGAGTGATAGAGGCTACCAAAGTAAATAAAAAAGATCAAGAATGCAAAGAAGGATGCAACTAGAGCTCCAACAATGAATCAATGAACCAACTACTTTCTATAGTCGAATGAAAGTCATTTTAATCAACCTTTTGGCCATGCATCATTATAGCAAGACAAATATCGTACCACACCACATTACTTTATGACAGCGTAGGATACTAAGCTAAAAAAAACAAACAAAAACAAAGTCACTGCAGAGGTAGAGTAAAAATATAATTTTATTTTATCAACAACTTAGGTGACATTCCTAGCCAACAGAAATGTTAGCAATGTGTCAGGAGACTGCACAAACTTCAACTGCCATAAACAGGCTGCCCATCTACAAAGTCGTTATCATATAATTGTGTAAATGTATCAGTGATTATAACTATATCCAAAAGTGTTCAACAGATGTGCTTAAGCATGACATATCCAGGACACGTGTGAAGTGTAAAACACTGTGAGGCAGACTCCATGTTTAAGTAAAGGGTGGGCCATTTATATGGATACACCGTAATAACATGGGAATGGTTGGTGATATTAAAGTCCTGTTTGTGGCACATTAGTATATGTGAGGGGCAAACTCCTCAAGATGGGTGGTGACCATGGTGGCCATTTACAAGTCGGCCATCTTGGATACAACTTTTGTTTTTTTCAATAGGAAGAGGGCCATGTGACACATCAAACTTATTGGTAATGTCACAAGAAAAAGCCTTTGTTTAAAAAAAAATATACAATAAGACGTGATGAGGAGGGTCAAATATGATTGAAATGCACTCTCACTGGCTAACTACACGTGACTGACAGTTTCTCAGTGAATAGGCATCATTCGGCTCTACTGTAACTTGGAAAGTAAACGAATATACAGGAAACAAAATAACACACTGACTAGACAGTTAATGAAGTTAAGCTAGCTGATGGACTGTAATGATGGTGGCTGGTGGCTAGCTACAGAGCCGTGGTTTTGCTAATATAATCACAGTAGCACAGGGAAGATGTAAGAAGAGGGTTGGTTTGATCTCAATAAAAGGTCACGGCCTGGGGGATCAGCAGGGCGCTGATAAACTGTTTCTCTCTCGCTCTCCGGGGTGGAACTCATTCTCAACTCATCTTGTCCTCGGCCCACGCCCCTCAGAGGAGGAAGCACCTGAGATTCATTAACGCAACCAGTATTTAAGCCAGGCGATGACTGCTGTTCTTCGCTGGATCGTTGTGTTTGACTCGTGTTAGTGTCGTCAAGTTGCCAGCTAAGTTTCCCCTTTGTGTTTCTGAGCATTGAACTAACAAACATTTCCCTGTGTACAGACTCCCTTGACCTTTTCCCCGTTTCCTGTGTGGTGATAGTTGGAGAAAGAGAGCCTGATCATGTGTGTGGATTAATGGAAGAGGAGCGAGAGTCTGTTTCCCTGGATTTCCCTGGAGCCCCGTCCCCCCACTTTTGTACGTAGCACTATTTCTGCACATTTGTATATACATTCAGTGAACTGTGTAAATAAATTGCTTGTGAAGCTTCCTATCGCTGAGTTTTGCATGTGAGTTCTCACGACAAACCGTAACAGTAATGATCCAGCCAACCATGGACTCAGCAGACTCAACCCCCACCCTGCAGCCTGTCCTCACCCCGGAAGCAATTCTGGAATGCCACAAATGCTACAGCACACTAACTAGCAACTGGCTACGCTCACCCAAGCCCTCGCTCAACGCCCATCCACGCCTCCTCTGCATGTCTCTCCACAGTTACCGGCTTCCGAAACTCTGGCGCCCGTACCATCTACCTCTTCCGCACCGGCTCACCCAGAACCCCCGGAGCAATCTTTACCTGCTATGGAATCTTACTCGGGTGAGTTTCATAAGTGTGCAGGATTTTTGACCCAGATCACAGACCTATGAGACTGATGGGGCCAAAATTGCCTATATTGTTCAGCTGTTACAGGCAGGTATTGAACTGGGCACAAGCCAAGCTAAGAACTGACCCTGAGATCACTTAGCAGGACTTTCTCGTTAAATTTAAAAGTGGTTTTGAAAGAGGCACCGGAGCTGAGGTGGCTGCTCTTTGATTGTTGAACTTAAAGCAGGGGAGACGGAGTATAGCGGAATACTCAGTCGAGTTTTGGACTTTGGCTGAAGAGACCGGGTGGGGGCAGTCGGCATTGATAAGTACCTCACTGAATAATGTTTGTGATGAATTGAAAAATGAACTGGTAATGAGGGACTTACCTTTGACTCTCTCTGATGTGATTACACTGTGTATGAAGGTAGACGAGCATTTAAGAGCGAGCCGGGGAACCGGAAACTATATTACCCAGAGGCATCTGGGACACACGGAAATGGCGCTGGGCGGAGGCGCGACCAGTGGCGGAGGCAATCAGGTGTCAGACAGTATGGAAGAGGGTGAACAACCCATGCAATTGGGGCGCTCCAGACTAATGCCTGAGGAGCGACATTGACGGTGGAGGGCCGGTGAGTGTTTTTACTGCAGTTGCAAAGGCCATATCGCCAACGCTTGTCCGGCTTGGCCAAAAGACCGCCCGCCAGTAGAGAGGAGAGTATGGGTGGATGAGGTCTCCTGTTCACGGTCTCCTCCACGTCTCATGATTGCAGCAAAATGAACTGTGCAACTCAAGACTCATTCTCTTAGGGCTCCGATTGACTCTGGGGCAAACAGAACTTTATTGACGCTTCGCTGGCGCATAAGCTAAAACTAAGCACTGAAACACTACCACACTCTCTTCAAGTTACAGCCCTTAGTGGTCAGCGTCTCCCAGACATCACCCACATTACAGAGCCCATTTCTTTAACCCTTTCTGGAAATCATTCTGAAACCTTGCAGTTTTCAAAGCCCCCCTCACACCGCTAGTCTTAGGCTACCCCTGGCTGCGTCAACATAACCCAGTCCTTGATTGGAGAAAGGAGAGTAACCTGGGGTGGGGGGAGGAGTGACCTCAAACTGGTTTTTTTTTGCAAAGATAGAGCGTGCTCGCTGCCTCCTTACCAGCCGTACGATTGCGGGATTGACCTTCTCCCGGGCGCACCGCTCCCTACCAGCTGTTTATACAGCCTTTCACAGCCTGAATGTGAAAGCATGGAAAAGTACATTAACGAGTCACTTGCTGCAGGTTTAATTCGCCCCTCATCTTCCCCAGTAGCCACTGGCTTCTTTTTTGTGACCAGGAAAGACAAGAGTTTATGGCCCTGCATTGGTTATCGAGGCCTCAACAACATTACGGTTAAAAACAAATATCCTCTCCCGCTGTTGAATTCCGCTTTCGAGCTTCTCCAGGGGGCCACAATCTTCACTAAGACCTGCAAAATGCAAATATCCTGGTCAGGAAAAGTGAGGGGGATGAGTGGAAAACGGCCTTTAACACCCATCTTGGCCATTTTAATATCTTGTCATGCCGTTTGGTCTCACCAATGCTCCAGCTGTTTTTCAGGCTCTGGTAAACGACGTGCTCCGGGACTTCATCAACCACTTTGTCTTTTTTACCTGGATGATATCCTCATCTTCTCACGCTCCGTCACCGAACACGAACGCCATGTCAGACAGGTCTTACAACATCTCCTTGTGGACCATCTCTTTGTTAAGGAAGAGAAGTGTGAGTTCCACGTAACTACAGTTTCCTTTCTGGGCTACATCATTGAGCAAGGTAACCTCAGAGCCGACCCAGCTAAGGTTAAAGCCGTCATTAACTGGCCAACCCCTTCTAACCGCAAGCAACTCCAAAGCTTTCTGGGTTTTGCTAACTTTTACCTTCGTTTCATTCGTGACTACAGTAAGCTTGCTTTGCCAATAACTCGTCTCAACTCACCCAAGGTTCCTGTCAGCTGGGATGAGCCTTCTCTCATCTGAAGCTACGTTTCGCCTCGGCGCCCATCCTTTTCCAACCAGATCTCAGTCTACAGTTTGTCGTGGAGGTGGACGCTTCGGACGCCGGAGTGGGGGCCGTGCTCTCCCAGCAACAAAGTGGTAAGCTTCACTCTTGTGCTTAGTTCTCTCGCCGTCTCTCCCCCGCAGAAGGAAATTATGACGTGGGAGACCGCGAACTGCTAGCCATCAAGCTCGCCCTGGAGGAGTGGCGTCACTGGCTGGAGAACGCTGCCCAGCCATTCGTGGTGTGGATGGACCACAAGAATTTGGAGTATATTCGGTCAGCTAAACGGCCAAATGCCAGGCCAGCCAGGTGGGCCCTGTTTTTCACCAGATTCCAGCTCTCGATCACCTACAGACCTGGCTCACCATTACCTTCCTTCAGCGCTTCGCCTGGTGGCCCTCTCTTGCAGAAGATGATTGTGAATGCATTGCCACTTGTCCAATTTGTGCCCAAAACAACAACGTCCATCAGCCATCTTCCGGCCTACTCCAACCACTGCCTACGCCAAGCCGCCCCTGGTCGCACATTGCTATCCACTTCATCACCGTTCAGCCACCTTCATCAGGTAACTCAGTCATTCTCACAATCATCGATCGCTTTTCTAAAGCTGCTCATTTTGTTGCCCTCCCCAAGCTCCCCTCTGCTCTAGAGACCACCCAGCTCCTGACTGACCACGTTTTACACCTCCATGGAATCCCCACGGACATAGTTTCAGACAAGGGTCCACAGTTTACGTTGCGCGTCTGGAAGGAATTCTGTAACGTCGTCAGAGCTCAGGTCAGTCTCTCCTCCAGTTTCCATCCGCAGACAAATGGCCAAACGGAGTGGGCCAATCAGGAGCTCGAAGCGGCACTCCAATGCTTGACATCCACCAACCAGACGAATAACTCCCATGGATCGAGTACGCTCACAACAGCCTCACCTCCCCTGCCACCGGAGTGTCCCCCTTCGAGGCGTCCCTAGGTTACCAACCACCTCCGTTTCCTGCCGTTGAAG